TCACAGGATAAAGGACCTGGCAATTCACAGGATAAAGGACCTGGCAATTCACAGGATAAAGGACCTGGCAATTCACAGGATAAAACAAGAGAAAATGTTAAAATGATTTGTTTCAAAATATCTAAATTAAAAGATTTCATTCTAACAAATGATTTGCTTGTATCGCACTAATTCCAATATGAAAACACAATAAAAAATTTCTCCCAACCCTTCCCCTAAAAATTTACACAGTTGCGCCTTGTGTTCAGTTTTAATTAAATACCCCCTAAACAGTTTCATATTTATTCATTTTTACTCTATGTAACATTTTGTGTTAATTATTAGTAAGATTTGAAAGTATAATTCTAAGTATAATTCTAATAGTCCTGAATTATGAATGTAAGTTGTACAATAGTAAATTTTAATAAATAAATTAACCTAGCTATTAATTTCAGTTTTTAAGCTAAGTTGTTAATTCATATTTTCACTCATTAAAAAGAAATAATAGAAATGAGGGACTCGTATTGACACTCTTTTAACCCCTCCCCCCCCCCGTTCCGTCTTCTCCACAAAGATATAAGGTTATCCACAAGGCAAAGAGACAGCAGAGACGACATGAAACTCGTATAATTTGACAATCTCAAGCTTTAATTAGGTTTTTGCCATGAAAATAGTCATTTGCAATTTGGCAAAGAAAGAAATGAGTTTACAGTTGCAGAGAACCGTGAAAGTAAGGAGAAGTATACATTTCTTACAATCGTCTCTGAAGTCTCATCCTTTGTGGTTAACCCTGAAAACATGGATTGTTTTTTCTTCTTCGTAGTTAATTGGCAACTTTCTCTTATAGAGACGATATACTTTAAAGACGAATTTTTCATGACTCCACAATATATCCATTAGGAAAAATGTTCTATAAAAAAATCGTTATTGCGTAGTTTTCACGTGGCGGTTTAGTTGTATAGCATGACTCTAATCCGATTTTTTATTCCGCAAAAACATACAAACTACGCGGATTCAATCAGTGTATTATTTGACGCAGACTGCTGAGCTCCACAAAATTCCTGAACAAGCTCAAGCAACCCAAGGAGAACAACATGATTAGGTTCTTCTCAGACGAAATAAGTTTCTACCCGGATCAAATGTACAACAAGCAGAAAACAGGTGGATCGCTGCCTGCCCTAAGGATGTTCCCGAATTGATGAAAACCAAGTTCACTAAGACGATTCTGGTGTTCGTTGTTGTCTCCAACAAGGGTGACGTCATGCCCCCGCACATCTTTGAGGTCGGGTTAATGATCAACACCAACATCTACCTGGAGGTCGTGGAGCAGATATTGTTACCCTGGATCATCCCCAAAGCTGGAGGTCGCCCCTGGGTCTGGCAGGAGGACTCTGCCTCCTGCCATGTGTCCAACAGGTCCATGGCCTAGGTTCAGAAGAACTGCTACGACCTGGTCACCAAGGAGCAATGGTCTCCCAGCAGCCCCGACCTTAATCCAATGGATTATTTTATTTGGGGCTACCTCGAGGTAATACCAATAGACGTCCCAACAACACTTAACGACAGTCTGATTGCATCCATCAAGGAGCACTTCGCGTCACTTCTCACGGACCTGGATATCAAGACGTGCTTCCGAGCCAAAGGCTGTTTAGAGGCCGTGATAGAGGTTGAGGGTGATTACATCGAGTGAGCGTCAAGATGGTGGACCAATGCAACTTTTGTTTTTTATTTGAAATAAAAATATAAAAAATTACGGATTTTATGTTGTTTTTACTTTTTTTGATAGAGCACGACAATGTAAAGTTCGAGCCCTGTATATTATGCAAACTGTGGTTACTGACCCCTTCATTGATGTTATCTAATCATTTAAACTAATTAAAATAGGTTTATCTAACTGTTAATAATACATGTATAGTATATGTATGGCCATTAAAAAATCTAAAATTAGAAAGAAGAAAATATATTTTCCCAAAGAAATATTTTTTTTTTGAAAATAGCATGGTATAAAAGCAGAAATATTTATATCATCTTAATTTCTATAATCCCTGATTTTAATGCCCTGGGGACTTGGTTTCAGCCTATACCCCCTTTCATTTTTCCTTTACTGTCCCTTTAAAGAAAGTGTTCAGTTAACTGGGTTTGAATCATACCACAATTATGAACTGAATATTTTTTTTTCAATTCAACAAGACAAATCTTTTCTCTTTAAAGTTTTAGAGACATCCATGCAATATATATATGTATATATATCTTCTTAAAATAAGTCTAAACATGTTCTATTGTTTATTAAAATTGGTTTTTGGTTATTATATATTTATGTATGAATTGTTCATTTGACTATTTAAAATCATAACTTGAGTCTAAAAGTCGTCTTCCTATTAGAGAGTTTTCTGGTTCACACTGTACCTATACACATTCAGAATACGTTTACACATCTCCACTTGTTCCTCTAGCAGAATAGGATACTCGGGAGAAACTTCCAGAAGGAAAACATTCGCGGCATTTGTTACGAACAGCTGCAGCAGGTTCTGTAGTCCAGCCCTAGATAGGTAGGTAGGTAGGTAGGTAGGCAGGTAGGTAGATAGGTAGGTGGGTAGGTAGGTAGGTGGGGGGTAGGTGGGTAGGTAGGTAGGTAGGTAGGTAGGTAGGTAGACAGGAAGGTAGATCGATAGATAGGAAGATAAATCAGGAAAGGTAAACTGTGAATAATTTTCAAGTCAGGTCTAAGTCTGATCACAATTACCCCCCGCCCCCCTTCGTACTCGAGCAGGAGTTAAAAGAAATGGGAAAGGTTCGGGACAAAATTTCCAATACCTGACACTAGGTGGATCTCTAGAGCTAGGAGTAAGATATGAATCCGCGTGCACACGTCCATACTTAAACAAGACCGGATGAGAATTTACATTAATTGGTGAATAATTACGTCTATTAAGTAATTTGAAGATACAGGGTTATCCACAAAGGATGGGACTGAAGAGAAGACTGTACGGAATCTATGCTGTTTGTTTTCTAATCATAATTCCCCGCATTTATAAACTTCTTTCTTTCCCAATTGCAAAATCTTGAATAAAGCCATTTAAAGATAACATTCAAGGCAACACTTAACTTAAACTTGCGATCGTCATTTATGACGAGTTTCAAGTCGTCTTTACATTCTCATCCTTTGTGGGGGACAACACCTGTAACTTGACACTGAGGTTATCATCTCTAGTAACATTTTCATTTAAAAAATTTAATTATAATTTTCAAGGTTCAATTTCAAGCATCTCACCCCCCCCCCCCCCCCCCCCCCCCCCCGCTCCCTCGCCCCCGTACCTCACGACAGTGTGGGGGGGGGGGGGGGGGGGGGTAGAGAAAGGACCTTTATGTACTTAATAGCTCCTTTAATTATTTAATCCATGTTCTAATCCTTTAATACTAAATTCACTTAATTATTTATAATTACTTAATGACAATTTCCGGAGTTGCGTAAATACAGAGAGATCCAAAACATTTGATTTAAGGAGACTTCCTAAGTAAGTAGTTAAATAAGTTATTTTTTCAACTTTTGAACAAAAATATGACACTATTGAATCCCTGATATTTACGTTGGAACCCTGAAACCATGCAACCCTGGAGATGCAATCTAATTGATTGAGAATTTTTCTGCAAAGAAGTTGCGGCTTTACAACTTTGGAAAACATTAATTAGATTTGATTTCTGAACTCAAAGATGTGCTACAAAACTATAAAGATTTGACAGTTTTTAAACCTGAAGAAGGTTGTTTATATGTAAATTAAAATGTTATGTTTTGTTAACAAGTAGAAAATCTGCATAATTTTTATTTTGAATAGAAAAAAAACATATCTCTTCATTCGTGAGGCAACAAGAATGCAATAAATAAAGGGGGAAATATTACATTGCATTGGCTTCCCTTGACCTTGTTGGGGAACCTCGGAAACCGTGATATTCCCTCCTATATTTATTGCATCCCTGTTGCCTCCCCGTAATAAAGAGATAAATAGTTATTACCGCCTTCTGACCAAACTTACCGACCAAGGATTCCCCAAACAGAGCGACGTTAAGTTAATTTACGTCCCTTGGGATAATTAAGTAAAATAACGACCCACTTTGCGAAGTTTTCTTAAAAAAATTGTGTATAACTACTTCTTCGGGAAATTAAAAGTTTTACTTCACCACGGGTTCCCTCGACCAATTTTACCAACAAAACATCCCACGCTGCTTTCTCGATGTTTTGTGAGCAAAATTGGTCTTGGGAACCCTTGATACAGAAAAATTTCCTTAACATCCCTGTAAAGTAGTTGTAAATAATTAAAACTGCCCTCTTTGGATAAAGTTGGATTTTGTAAATAAATAAAATTTCATATTTTAAAATTTTCTACAAATACTTTTCCTTACAAATAAAAAATTTAAGCTTTAAAGAAGTGGTAAATAAATAAAATAGTCACCAAAACAGTTTCACAGGAAAAAAATAAAGCAAAAAAACTCTCAACAGCAGGGAATAATATTTTTTTAAATTATAAAAATATTTTAATTCTATTCAAGATTTTTTGCTAACAATTACAACCCACTCCTCTTTCATATGTTATGGACCTTCTATTCCCCTCGAGTCAAGCAATTATAAAATTTTACCTTTTTGATTATCTAAATTTTTCAGTTCTCTCACTAGTTGCTCAGTCTTCTTTACAAGATGTACATGTGGTCTCTTCTCCCAAGAGCAGAGACCCAGCTGTTGAAACAATATCCTGGCTTGTTGGAAACACTCTTCCTCGCGTAAGACCGGGGTTTCTGGCGGTAAAACTGGTTTTCCAGCGTTATAAAGGGAGTGCGGTCCGCTTAGCCGTGATAGTTGATCCAATTCTAAATTTCTTTGGCTTATCACAGATGAGATAATGTCACCCTCTAGGGTGTTATCAACCCCGTGCCATGGAGGGACAGAGTTTAAAGGAAGGTTGGGCATTGATAATAGTTCGGGGGATGTGTGTCCAAGGTATTGAAGAAGATCGTCAAGTTGATCAAGATCTTGAGCTGACACCTCGTGAGTTGGTAGTTCCTCTGGATCCCTGTGTCGTTTAGTATGTCTAGGTGGGGAGAGTACAGTAGCATGTTGAGGAGTGGATACACCACTCCAGGAGGGAGCTAAGGACTGGTTTTGCATAGAGGAAGGAGTGTAAAGCACTGAGGTATCCCAGACAAATTTGCCAGAGATGTCCCGCAGGATGATTCTAACCTGACTTGGGGCTGTGATAAATCCAGACATTTCAACATCCTCTTCTAAACCGGGAATCTCCACTAAAGACAGGAGAGTTGTGTTGTTAAGAATAAAAAGCTGGATGTTGGGAGATTGAAAAGTTTCAAGATTTAACTCATCACTCACTAAAGTTGGAACATCATCCTGCTCTGAGACCTGACTTGAAAGACTTGATGCCCCAACTGCTTGTGGGAAGTGGTTGAGGTGATTAACCAGGTGAGATAGCAAAGTTCTAGCCGCAAGCTGAACCACAGCTCCAGGACCCTCATCTTGCAGGAGAGGTAAAGATGCATCATCCATCAGGTCACGAGAAGCAGATCTAGATTTCAGTTTAGCTGGAGATGCATTCCAATTTTCTCCTCTCAGATTGTCAACATGGATGTCTGGGTCAAAACCATCTACATACCCAACAGGACTGTTGGAGGTGAGAAGGGGAGAAGATAAGTTGCTGTGAGCAGGCTTTATACCTGAGAGCAATGCTTCAAACACATGATTAAGCAGGGATTTGCCATCCTCCTGAATCTGAGTGAGAACTTCCAAAGGAAGCTTCATACACCATTCTCCCAGACAGCTCAACAAAGAGAGTAACAGCCTTCTATCTTCCTTAGATATATCATTGCTAACTTCAGGTTTGGGGAGCAAGGATGCCAAACTGCGTGATAGAACTTCAACAATCCGTTTTGGAAGATCTTGATGGTAGGCTAGAACACGGTCAACCTGTTCAGATATCAGCATTAGCATATCACTTGCTACTTGCGCCACTGCCTTATTGTTGAACTTAAGAGCGGCCAGCAGAACTATGATTGCATCTTTGAGTTTAGAATGATATGTTTGATGAACAAGTTCACGATATACAAAAGTTCCAAGAGAGGACAAAGCAATACAACGTGCCAGTCCATTTGGCTCCTTTTTCCCTGCTTTCAAGAGTACACTGATAACCTGATCTTGCAGATCTTGGCTGGACACCAGAGAAAGCTGGTCAGAGGACGGAAGAAGAAGTGGTAAAGAGGAAACTACAGAAGGATAGGACAGTAAGCTTCCTACAATTGAAACTGCCTCTGTTCTTGGAAGGCCCTTAAACTCCTGGGAGGAAATAACACTGTTAGATGCAGTCAGGTAGTCATAAAGGAAGGACGAGTATCCAGGTAAGGACAGGGAAAAGAATCTGGACCCGGTAAATCTGACCAGATTGTGAACTGTATCCTGGTCATTGCTGCACAGTCCTTGGTGAAGTACTTTGTAAAACTGGATTAGGTGGGTGCGAGGTAGTGGAGTATCCTGAAATCGTAAATTTTATAAAAAAACTAAATTTCCAAATTTTTTTCAATAGTTAAGTATGATGAATAAAAAGAGGAAGCTTATATTGATCAGAAAATTATTAAAAAGTAAGACTCAAAATGGTGCCATTAATAAATTACCTGAGGGCGGACTGTTAGAAGACAAAGAAGACGAAGGGCATACATTCTCCCCCGTTGGTAAGTATCAGGGAGTAACAGTGCCCTGAAACACCAAGGGGCAAAGATTGTGAAAGGAGGCACATACTGGGGTGATTCAGGGGTCTTGAGGTTATCCACACTGACCCCCTGGTTTGCTCGGATTTTGTTCATTATCTCATGAAGGTCAATAAGGTACTTGTATATCTGTGCATGTATCACAGTGTCAGCAATACTATTAACATCCCCCAAAGAGCCAAGCATGCGTCGCCACAGTACTACTGCCACATCAGGTAACCAGCCCTTCACAGATCCACCAGCCATCACACTCTTAGGGCCCTGGCTTCCATGAGAAACATCTCCGATGTCATAGAAAGCACCCTCATGATCATGGTCAAGCTGGATAGGGCTGTCCTTGATACTGTGGGACTCCATGCTGCTGCTTAGCTCGGGGCTAGGGGATCTACTGCTTTCTCGATCCCGAAGAGAATCAACAGATCTGAAACATCACAAAATTAGCTAGAAATAGGATTAGTTGATCTCAAAATGCTTGGAAAACAGAAAATTCTAGTAATTATGGGGCATATTTTAAACTTAAAAATTCTTAATTTTCTTTAAATTTTTTTATTTTACCTGGATCTTCTCTGCTTGAGTCGCCAGGCTGCGGCTAGCATGATATCATGATCCTGATTCCGAGGGAAATTGATCCAACTCTCCGACATGCACCTCTTTCTAGTAAACAACATCCTCTCCGAGAACTCCAGGTGGTCTTCAGTATATGGGGCTCCAATCCCCTCACTCTCGCTGGATATACGATGCCGGGGCGGGTAAGGGGACTCGGTGTCAGTTCCTCGAAATGCAGGGTGCATGGCTGGTCCTTCATTGTTTTTTAAGTCCTAAAAATAAAAAATAGAAAAATTCAAAAATAAAAAGAATTTTTTATTTCAGCATATCTTTACAAACAAATTTGAAAAATTCAACCCCTTCCTTCCATGAGAAAATTATTTCAAGTGAATTATATACCCAAGATTTTATGAAAAGAACAAATTGGTTTAAATGGATTCTCTCCTTGCGTATACACAGATGTCAAAACTTTGAAGATTTGACAAAGGAAAGATTCAAATATTCTAGTAGAAGCTGAGGAATTCCACTTTTATTTGACTTTAAGTGTTCATTAAGAAGTTTTAGTCTACAGTCATAATCAGAAAAACCCAGAATTAATTTATAATTAATCAGACGATATTACAATCTATTCAAATATGATATAATCTAAATCAAATATTATTAATGAAACAAAATCAACAAATTGTGGTATGCTTTTCTTGTGCATTTAAATATTAACAGAGATATATATGTAAATTCATAAGATTAACTGTCAATTAATTCCGAGCCTTCCTGGATATTTTTAAAAGTTACCTCTGCAGTGTTTGATATTTTGGGAAGTACAATTCCCGCCTTCCCTCGCCTTCGCTTAGCTTTTTGCTCGCTCAGTCGGTCAAGCGGTAGATCGTTGAGGTCAAGGTTGTAAACCTGGCGTGCCAAGACTCGCGTTAAAGTTTCCATAGTCTTGAACCACTCTCTACATGCGTACATATGTATATAAAGCACAATTTCTCGAGTTTGTGTAAAAAATAAAAATTTTCGTGGAATCTTTCACTTTAAGGAAAAATACAAGAATAAGATAAATTAATTAGAATGAAAAACGCTAAACTGATTTCATTATTAACCATAACAAATGAAATGATAATAAAAATGATAATGAAAAAATCAAAATTAATTTTACTTCTTTCCTCAAAACACATTTTGCTAGAGATTCATTCCACAGAGATGAAACATGACTTATCGTCATTTTTCATTCTTTTATTTTACGAAAATACATTTGAATATAAATATAAATGCATTAATATATATATATCCCTGATAAGTTCCTCCCAGAGTGTTAACCCTGATAGAACTTCAAGAAACTGATCCCACAGCTCGCAAGACACAACAACATACAAGTTGGCCTAGAGTTAATAAAAACAAATCAGGAAGTTTGGAGATTTCAGAGAAATTAAAAAAGCATATTTTTTAAACATAATTGATCAAGAAAAGAATGCAGGGGTGAATATCTTTAATGATTTTGAGGAAAATAATGGATATGCAAAAAGATTTTCAAAAGGGAGAAGAAAATGATTTTTTGTAAAAATAAATACCCCTGAAAGAATAAGATTTAAAAATTATAAAAACAGTTTTACAAACAAGTTATTATCCCACCTTTATCCAGGTGACTATAAGAGTTTGAAAGATAGCTTGTGCAAGACGACCTCCCAGTGTGTCCTCGCGCCGGCGCGGTGGAGTCTCTGTCAGGGTCAGCTGGGTGATCTAAAGATTAATTAAGATTAAAGGGACTGTCGTTGTAAATTAAACTGAACTTCAATTTAAAGAGAAATATTTCAAACTTTAAATGATATTCCCGTAGTTATTAGAAGGTAAAAATTTTCCTAAAATAATAATTTGTTTTTGGTTTGGATGAAAAAAAAGTTCAAAAAAATGTTTAAAAGAAAAATTATATTTTTACTTGATATCTTATGCAATCTTGATCAGATAAAGCTTTTCAGGGAATCATTTAAAATCGGATATATTGGCCAATTTAATTAGAGAGTCACTTGATATTACGTTTACAGTTCCTTTAAGTCTTGTTTTTTTTAACATCTTCAACCCGTTTCCGCCTCATTTGTACAATACTTTATTTCTCAAGCTTGATTTCATAATCCCTCCATTTCCAGGGGGGGGGGGGGNAAATCAATAAATCAATAAATCAATAAATCAATAAATCAATAAATCAATAAATCAATAAATCAATAAATCAATAAATCAATAAATCAATAAATCAATAAATCAATAAATCAATAAATCAAACAATTAAAAAATTCTTTAAGATATTAAAAATCAAACTTTTATATATCTGTTTTTATAAAGAAAGGTAAAAACATGCATATTTAATGCTAGTAACACGTGCAGGGGGTATGATGAACAACATTTGTAAAACCAATATGGAGAATTAATTGACATTTCGAAATTTAATCAATTATTTAAGTATATTGTGAAAGTTCAGAATCAATCAATCTTAATTAAATAAAGAATATTTCGGTCAAAATAATTGTTTTATCAATCCATTAAGCTTGCACTTGTACTTTTTAGTCTAAATTCCATTAACTTCAAATAAGATGATGATTCTTTTACTTTTGAATTTCGCTTCAAAAAATTAAATAGTAAAAATGTTTAGACCCGAAAAAAATTTAACAAAAAAGTTGAAATTCTCTTTTTTTCGTGTACTTCATTTTTGGAAATGATTGAAATGAAAGAAATGGCTTTAATGGCTTAAAGGGACAGTAAAGGAAAAATGAAAGGGGGTATAGACTGAAAGCTAATCACTTTAGCTCTCGATCGCGACCCATGAAAGTTTTATCTGATGTTGTTGCCAAGATCAGATGTTAATGTGTATAAGGTTTAATTATTTGTATTTGTTTAGTCCTATAACTGAGGTTTGTTGCCAAGATCATATGTTAGTGTGTATAAGGTTTAATTATTTCTATTTGTTTAGTCCTATAACTGAGGTTTGTTGCCAAGATCAGATGTTAGTGTGTATAAGGTTTAATTATTTGTATTTGTTTAGTCCTATAACTGAGGTTTGTTGCCAAGATCAGATGTTAGTGTGTATACGGTTTAATTATTTGTATTTGTTTAGTCCTATAACTGAGGTTTGTTG